GCTCGCATCATTAATAAAATAAGACTTCTTGCCTTCCTTGATTCTAGTTTGTACCACTCAAGATCGCATATTGCACGATATACTGCATTGCACTTAATGAGTACATATATAAGAAAATATATTTATGTTCATATCATTTCAGTGAGAAATATTAGTAACAGTTAATTTAGATTAAATAACATTTTATTTCTTGTAAAGAAATTAGAAACAGAAGTGTCATACAATTGATCAACTAAATTTGTATTTTGTTAATGTTCACTCAAAAATATGTTCATATCAAAAATAATCATTCGATATGCGTGCAAATGTGTCAAAGTAAATTTTTAGTAAGTTTTGCCAGGTAATGTGATATTAAATTTCTAATAAATAGTAGTAACAATAAAAATTTGTTAGATGTTTGAACATATAAAAATTATATTTGCTCCAAAGTATAAAACAAATTTATTACAACATTATATAAAAATTATGCGTTTCGCGGTTCCTCCATATCCAGATCCATTCTTGGAATGCCAACGTTTCGTGAATCTTATAATCCACTTCATCAGGGCGAAGAGCAGCCTGATACTGATCTCCACTCCTTTTATATTACGCTACTTGTTGGAATGGTGGGGAAAAAGAAGAAAATTGTGAGGTAAGAGGGAAATTAGTCAGTCTTTAATAACCGGGAGAATGGTTTTCTGTATTTTATTTATGTTGTTGCTATTATCTCTATTTAGATTATTAAAATGTTTTTGTATCTCTATGGCTTCTCTATACTTTCTTAGAAAGTGTTATATAATGTTGGCTATTGTGGTTTTGTTAAACAGTATTTGGTGTTTTATTTCGATATTGTGTTCTGATAATGCTGATTGCGTGACGTGTTTTAGCCTGACATCAAGTTGGTTCTTTTATCCATAGGTTGATCATTCTCCCGGTTTCTCCAATGTATAATGTTCCTTGCCCGCAGGAACAAGGTATACTCCTTTTGTATACCTTGCGGAGCTGAGTGGAGATTTTTGATCTTTAGGATTTCTTAAAATTTGTTCTCACAAAAATCCACAACCCTCTCTACTTAACATCAAGAACCTATCCAACAAAGATACCTGTCTCAAGATACTATATCTGCGCTTGCCAAAGATCCTAACTTCGCAGTGGCATCTAGAAAGATTACAAAAGGAAGAGATTATCAGCCAAATAGAATCAACCATGCCAATAGAGTCTCCCATCAGAACAAGCAGATAATATCCGCAGACAGGTAACCAATATCCTTTCCAAATATGCCAAATCTCCTCCAAACATCACTAAACAAGAGCGATTGGCCTCCAAGACCAAGACCCAAGAAGAACAGGGACACAGACACCATTATGCTGCCAGGCAATAAAGATAATGCGACAGTAATTATGAACACATTAGACTATAAGAAAAAAATGAAGAACCTTCTCTCGGACAAAGCATACAAAAAGCTTGATCCACAAAGATCCAACTAATATAATTGCACAGAACATCAAAATTCTGATGGAAAAAACAACATTCCCAGTAAAATCGAATCAACATTAAAACTTACAAATCCTCTCTCACTAAGATTATATGGATTACTAAAAATACCAAATATCAATTGTCAGCGCCATACACTCACCGACATACAACTTATCCCGCTTCCTAGCACAAACACTACAACTCCTCACTGGAAAATCCGAATCACACATTATTAATTCAACGGACTTCATACAAAAGATAAAAAAATTTAAGTATCTCCCACAGACTTGCTTGTAAGTTTCGACGTAGAATCCCTTTTCACACAAGTCCCATTAATAAAAGACACATTAAACGTAATAAAGGTCTCACATGAAATCTCGCTAATAGAGAACTGCTTAACAATTCAGCAAACGAGAATGGATTGAAATGAATTGAAATGGATTCAATTTTTCAGAAATATTGATTCACAAATGTTAAAATGAATGCTTTTCAATTCTGAATGCATTTTTCATTTATAGGAATTGCATGGAGCATATCTCTATGCCTTTCAATTTGAAAATAATATTAGCTTTATTTGTGCATTGTGAATACTGTTCAATTCAAAATTTTGAATAGGAAATGCAGATTTCAATGCAATTGCATCCAATTGAATCTAATTGAATTCAATTGAATCCAATTAAATCCAAAAAAAAAATATTCGCTATTTAAAATACGCATTCAGATAGAAAAAAATTTCAATCCATTTTAATCTTCTATTCTCGTTTGTTGGGAACCACTTACTTCTCTTATAACAATCAATTTTATGAACAAACTTCAGGAGCGGTAATGATCTCTCCTATTTCTCCTGTAATTGCCATCTTCATGGAGCATTTTGAGAAAGAAATTCTCAGAAAAAAACTCAAAAAACCAAAAATTTGGTTCCATTATGTAGACAACACATTCGTGATATGGAGACATGGCAGAGTTGAACTCCGTAAATTCCTTATTTTCCTCAACAATCAATATCCAAATATCCACTTCACATTTATAGACATAGAGGAAAACGGAAAACTCCCCTTCCTAAATATTCTTGTCTCTAAAAAAACTGACAGTACTTTAGGTCATCAAGTGTACAGAAAACCAACACACATAGATAAATACCTACATGACGAGTTGCATCACTATTCAGCAAAAACAGTCTGCAATCAACTCACTTGTACATAGATTTTTCATCATCTCTGACATCTACAGACAGAATTCAATTACTTAAAACTAGCCTTACAGAAAAACGGACACGATATAAAAAGACATAATCAAAACAATTAATAAACAAAACAATGGTCTCTGACACACAACTAGATAAAATGATCCATTCTCTCATATGTCAAAGAAACAAATCGGATTGGTAGGATAGGATTAAATAAACACAATATCTGAATTATTTTTTAAATCACCCAAAAAGATAGGACAAATCTTAAGAAATCCCAAAGATCAAAGACTTACACTCAGCTCCGCAGGAGTATACAAAATATCTTGTTCCTGCGGGCAAGTATACATTGGAGAAATCAGGAGAATGGTTAACCTACGGACACCAACGTGATGTCAGGCTAAAACTCGTCACGCAATCAGCATTATCAGAACACAACATCGGAACAGAACATCAAATACTGTTTGACACGACCATAATAACCAACATTATGTCATACTTTTCAAGAAGTATAGAGAAGCCATAAAGATACAAAAACATTCTAACTATATACAGAGACAACTCTATATAGAGATAATGGCTACAACATAAATAAAATATGGAAAACTATTCTCCCGATTATTGAAGACTGACCAATTTCCCCCACCTCTCTCTCCCCCTTACCTCACCCACAATTTTCTTCTTTTTCTCCACCATTCCAACAAGTAGCGTAATATAAAAGGAATGGAGATCAGGCTGCTTCTCGCCCTGATGAAGTGGACTGTAAGATTCATGAAATGTTGGCATTTCAAGAATGGATCTGGATATGGAGGAACCCGCGAAACGCATAATTTTTATAGAGAAAGCACTCGTAGAAGCCTCAAAAATATTATTACAACACTATTGATATACGTTATAAGTATAACCAACTTACTTTATGTATTTCGAGAATTGTTCAGAAAGTAGTACAAATATTTTTCTCGGCCAATAATAAAAAGATAAAGAAATGAAATTTTACATAATGCAAACTTCAACTTAGTTGTGTTTTTATATAAAATTACACAGCATTCTGACGGCTGGAGCATGGAGCAGTTGTAATAATTTTTTAATGCGACTGCAAATAATTCACGTTACAAATGATTACAAAGAGTAAACTATAATTGAATTTTTGGTTGTGAAAAAATAACTGAATTGCAAAACATTTATGTGCTGTATATACACATATCCTATAGATATAGCTCGTTTGTAAGCGAATTGTTCACAGATATTACTAAAAAAAATTAGCTGCTTCGTCTGTCCGAATACCGTATAACTTTTCATAAAAGTGCAACAAACTTGAAGTTTGTAGCATATAAAATTTCACTTTTTTGTCTTAATTATTGGTCAAGAAAAAAATGTGATGCATTTCATTCTGAACAACTCTCGTATAAGTATAACTTACTTGCTCTGTTACAAGTTCTCCTGCTCCACAATAAAGAAAAGTATTCATTAACATGACAATAAGAACAAATATTGAGAAATATCCTTGTCCAATAACAGTTTTATCTATTTTTCCGTTAGTAAATATCTAAAACAAATTATAAAAAAGTAAAAAAACGTATGCATGTTATAAAATATCTTTTTACTGAATCTTACAATAGTAAATAAAAATCCGCTTAGACAAAATACAATACCAAAATGGAGTACCATTACTAACATCATTAAACAGTATGTATTTTCGATATTGTCAGCAAATCTATAAGAATAAAAATTATTTAAAAGAATTATCACATTAAATCAATAAAATATTACATATATTTCATATATGCATAATGTAAATATATACATATGTACATATATACATACATAATATTAGGTGTGGGAAAAACGCCGAACTTTTTCCCATACCTAATATATATAATAATACAATAGTATATTCAATATACATATACAATATATACAATATATGCAATATATATATCAATATATTCAGAAACACACACATCTAAACAAAACTGCATAAATTATTGTTTATTAAATATATTATTTGCTAAATTCATAATTAATTTTTTCTAACAAAATTGTACAGACATTAATACAATCATTATATTACATGTTAATAAAGATACTTTTGACAAACAAGCTTTACAACTATAAACGTGCCAAGGAATAATACATAACAGAGTGTATAATGATAAACTGAATTGGGATGTAATATGATTACTGAAGTGGGATGTAAACAAAAAAAATATAGTTGTATTATATTTAGTTATACATTAAAGAGTAATATTTTTGTTATAAAAAAGATAACTTTAAATAAAAAATTTTAACATTCGAAGTATAAAATGTATAAGAAAAGAGATATTTTTAATAATATTTCTAAATCAATTTTGTTCTATTGTTACCATAAAAATTCATACCTGATAAGACGTAAATGGATTCCTATGATATCGTTCAAAACTTTATTGAAATTTTTGCATGAGATCAAATTAATTAATCGACATCTAAAGTTTTCTAACTGACCATAAATATGAAGAATTATTACAATGAGAAAGATATCTACAGACATATAAATGGTAGTTGCCAACAATGTCGTCACGGCCTGAATGATAAATGTAAACTCAAATTGTGGACTCTTATCTGTATCATAGAAGTGATATGTTTCCAGCGGTAGTGGTTTGCGCCGATCAGTGAAATTCGTTACGTATATTACTTGTGTTACTCGAATGTCAAAAAAAGGAAGAATGATGACTGTGAGAAATCCTGTTATTGCGAAAACATATCCAATCATCATAATTAATCTTGCTGTTTGTGCTTGTTTTATCATCACATCTCTTTCTCCATTCAGCTTGAATGCCATCCAATCTTCTGCCATCATATTTACGATTGACAAGAGAACTTGAAAATACAAATAACTATAGATAAAACATTGATAGAAGCGTTAAAATATTAAATTATTTATAGATACATATTGTTAAATCGCATCAAAGAAAGAATTATGCACATTTTATAATTTATTTCCACATTGCTGTATAGGAGTAAATTATATATATATAATTTCTTACTATACTCCACAATATATTTGTAATTATAATTATTTATTACAATATGATTTAACAAGACAACGAAATATAATGCTGAATTATATAATATTTTATTTTATATCATTCTGAACATACCTTTTCGTTTTCGTAGTAAGATAATGTATTTCACTAATACTGTTATCTCGGGTAATGCTATTTGTAAATTGTTTATTACAAGTACCATATTATCCCAAACTTGAATAACTGCACATATCATCGGAACATTAGAAACGAATATTAATAAAATGAAAATGATGCCAATCTTAATTTCTGGCCACAAACTTTTTTTAGTATTTGTGTTGAGTTTAGGCCACAAGCCCACCATTTTGAAACCTAAACGATGTAGACTAACTGCCCACATAAAATCTAATAAATTTTTATACGATATAAACAGTTTGGAAATAATTATTAATTAATATATAAATTATTAAGCGATTATACAAAAGTTAAAAATAATATAAAAAGTAAAAATAATATCTCATGAACGGATTTACAATACGAAATTATATAAACTTATTTACTAGATACATATTAAACACGAATGAACGAAAAATATCTAATATGAAATTAGAACCTCTGTATTCGGATGATTTTGTAATATCCATGTCGAAAACTAGAATGTAAAGAATGTCTAGATCCTTTTACGACATGATGTAAAATGATTATCACACATATTCTCCGTACAAAAACTCGACAGTCTTGTTAAATGCAGTTTACGCATTAAATATTACGAATGCTATTCCCAATTATAATTACTGATGTAAGAAAAAATTTCATAAATGTTCACGTTATAAAAATCGTTATAAAAGTTTATGTCTGATCTAAGAAAATAAGAGATGAAAAATATCGCATTATAAGTTCATCGTATTCACTTAAAAAGTTTTTTCCATTTTTTTATGTTACTCCATTGTATTTATTACAAAACGAGAAATAACGTTGTTGCATTTTTAATGCGATACTATAGCCACAAAAGTTGTATACAAAAAGAATGGTACAAAATTGCATCTTTTAAATTTTTTTAAAGACATATCTAACCCTAGTAAACATGAGTGAATATAATATTATCTCTAGTTTATAAGTAGTTTATAATTCATACTTCAAAGTTGTCCATGTATTTCCAATAATGAAATTTCAGTATCTTATAACTGCAAATTCACGTATGGTAGCTTTAAAAAATGTGGCAACATTCTCTCAATAAAATAACTAATGCCCCGATGAAAATAAAAATTGTGTAAGTCGAATGTAATTTGTAAACGGTTCTTCTATATTTCATTGTTTTAATTTTTGCCATCCAGAAACTTTGTTTATGCTTTTGTTTCTCTTCCATTACATTCGATTTTTATTTTCATCAGGGTTCTAGGATGTTTCTGTTCATTGAAGATAAGGTAACAAGAATCTTTCTAAAAAAAAGAATTGCAGTAAAATGTAAAATTCACATAGATATATCAAGATAGACAATTATATACATTTATCTTACTAATTGTATCTTATCATGTTGATTTGATAAGATACAATTAACATAAAAAATTATTATTAAATAATATTTGTAATTCAAATTAATGTAATTATAAAACAAACATTAAAATATTGTATTATAATTTTGGGCTGATTATAGATATTTCGTTTTCTCTTAAACATAATGCACAAAAATCTTCATACTATTTCTGTGCAATAAAAATATTCACATTACAAAATACTTAATAACATATTATAATAAATAATAAATAACTTATTATAATTAATAATAAATTTATAATAAAATGTCTTT